ACACACACAGCAGACCCCAGTGCCCTTTCCACAGGCATTCCCACTTGGAAAACATCGTGCTCTCCCCAACAAACCCATTCTGGAAGCTGCTGAGAGTTGGTTAAAGTTGCATTTCATGAAATGCTGACTTACCTGCCAGAATATGCTGTCTATTGTGTTCCCCAGAAAGCCATCCCTGCCCTCTGACGACACCAGCTTGGGGCCCAGGATGGTCATAAACTCATCGAAATCCACCTGGCCATCCCCTGGAATGAAAGAAAAACTTCATGGAATTATGGAGGCAGGGAATAGTTTGGCTGGGAAGGGACTTTTAGAGGCCATCTAGTTCATCTAGAGCACCTTCCACTGGATCTGGCTGCTCCAAACCCTGTCCAACCTGGCCTTGGACACTTCCAGGGATGGGGTAGCCACACCAGTGCCTCACCACCCTCACTGTTATCAAGGAATTATCCCTGAGTGCCAATGTCCAACCTGCTGCTCTGGATCTGCTGCACATCAAGGACCCACTGTGGCACCTCCCACATCAACTCCATGGTGCCTCCAGACCCAAATCCTTTGATATTCCCAAAGAATGGCACCTCCCACATCAACTCCATGGTGCCTCCAGACCCAGATCCTTTGATATCCCAAAGAATGGCCCCTGATGTGGCCCATCCACACCTGAAGACAGGACCAGCCTGGGGTTGAACAGGTCATTCCCAGCTCTGGAGAGCCTGCAGGCCAATCCCTTCTCCCAAAGCCCCTCTGGCAGGAGGACAGGAGGCAGCAGCACGTCCAGGGCTCTTCCCTCCCAGCTGCCAAACGTGTCTCTGCACAACTTTTACAGGGCCAGCCCCATCCTCCAGAGGGAGGGAGTCCACACAGAGCAGAGAGCCAGACTATTGCAAATCCACAAGGCATTCCATTCCAGCTTTCCAGGAGCTCTGGGAAGCCCGGAGTGCTCGGCAGGCAGTGCCTTTAGCAGGGAGAGGAGACTGCTCCTGCCACTAATGAGCTGAGCTGCTGCAGCCCTGAGCCCCTGCATGTGCTCCAAACCAGGCACGGAGCTGTTTGGAGAGGGAATTGTATCCAAGGTCACTTTTCTCTCCAAGAACTTCTGCCACGAAAACGAAAATGGCAAAAAAAGGGATATTCCTGCCTGCTGAAGGGTCTTAAAAATACCAGTTTGTCTCAACAATGTCTAGACCTTCTGCAAGTATTTAAGCTTCTGAAATCTCTCAGTCCATGGGCACACCTGCCTACACGTTATTGAGTGAGTGGATGTATTTGCCCTTTTCCAAGTCTGGAAACAGAATCAGCAACTGCAAGAGCTGCAGTTGTGTTTTATTCACATTTACAACCCGACCTGACTGCACCCACCTCTCCAGGCAGCTGCTGTTGCAAAATCATCAGGTGGGAGAAGTGTCTTAAACCATCAGATTAAAACAGATTAAATCATCAGGTGGGAGAAGTGTCTTCAAGCATCAGACTGAAGCAGATCAATGCCAGGGCTGCTGTTAAAATGCCCCCCCTGCCTGCAGCCCCTGCAGCCCCTCGTGCACCACGTTTGTCCTCTTTATCAGGTCTCAGGTGCTTGATCCGAGCAGAGGCACCCACTGCAATCCCTCCTTATCTTCCCAGAAAATAAGCAGAGTCAAAGGACTGTTTGCCAGGATAGTGATCTCCAGTCAGGGGGGGCTCTGCCTGGAATTGCCTGCAGGGAATACCCTGGGGCTGAGCCCTTGGAAGAAGCCCAGCAGGGATTCGTGGTGCCTTTGATCCTGGAACATGCCCAGAGATCCCATCTCGCTGCTGGAGCTGCTCACACCTTCAGGGCTTTGCAGGGCTGAGCCCTTGCAGCATTTCTGCGTTTCTGGGGCAGCTTATTAAGCAGTAAAGGAAAGGGGTGGGCACCCCATCCCTTGGAGAGCCGTTCTTTAAAACGTTTCTGGGCTGTGGAAATGTGTGTTCCCTCTGCTCCCCCTTGGGAACAGCATTGAGAGGGATTGGATCAGTCACAGCCCGTGGGATCACCTGGGGAGGGGAATGCAGGGTGACAGGGGTGGCTGGGTGATTGACATCACACCCCAGGAACGAATCCATGCCATGGATGCAAACTGGGATGCACTGGGATGCAGATTTGGGATTCAAACTGGGATGCACTGGGATGCAGATTTCTCGAGATTAGCGGGAAAACAATTTGCATTTCAAAGAGGCTCCTGTACCTGGCCCTGCACAGATTTGGGCTGTGCACCTGCAACCCCCAAACTCTGAGACGTTCAGTTTGTGTTTTCCACGATGTCCTTTCACCCCAGAGGACAGGCAGGACTTCATCCCACACATGACTCATGAGAAAGCAGGGGCCAGGACTGCTGGACTCCCTGTCTGACTCAGAAGAGGCAGACCCTGCTCCTGACTCCCCTGGGCCTTTGCCAGGGATCATAACTAACTTCACAGGCTTTAATTATCAGCTTAATTATGGCATTTGCCACAACCTCAGAAGTAAGATGCCATTAAAAAATGCATTATCCCATTATTGACTTCTTTTTCAATTAAAACTCTTAACTAGCAAGGAAGCCAGACCCCAAAACACTTTAGGTGGTAGAAATATCCCTTTAACATTCATTTCAAGTTGCAGAAAACAAACCTTCCTGCCATCAGGATCTCAGGAGACAGCAACATCATAATATCAAGAAAGAGAAATCATAGTTTTGTCTGAAAATCCCTTTTGCATTGTTTAACTGCCAGGAGAGAAATACAAAAAGCTACACACAGGTTCCAAGTCTGCAATGAGAAAACACACAGGGGTGCTTTCCACAGCCATGGCATCACCAGGTAGTGCCCAATACCCACAGCCCATCAGATCCTGAGAGCACCCAGCTCGAAATTTGTGTTGGGCACAGTCCAAAGGCACCTTCCTCGTCCTCCTCCTCCTCCTCCTCGTCACACCCAGGGTGGTACCAGCTGATGTGTGATGCTCACACTGAGCATCTGTTCTCCACTCTGCTCTGGAGGCAAATCACCCCCCACACATGTCCCCACGTTCCTCTGCTGTGCCCACAGATGTGCTGCTCTCCTGGGCTCACAGGATCCCAGGATGTGCTCAGCTGGAAGGGATCCACAAGGAGCATCAGTCCAACCCTCAGCCCTGCACAGGCCCAGCCCCAAGAGTCACCCCCTGTGCCCCAGAGGATCAGCCAAACCCTCCCTGAGCTCTGGCAGCCTTGGGGCTGTGCCCACTGCCCTGGGGAGCCTGGGCAGTGCCCAACCAGCCTCTGGGGGAAGAACCTTTGGCTGAGATCCAACCTGAGCCTGCCCTGACACAGCTCCAGCCATTCCCTGGCTCCCAAGCCATTGTTATTTAGAGCTCAGAGCCATGTGTGACCTATTCACAAACTAACACTGAACTGGGTTTAAGGAGTGGGGAGAAGGGGAGGAAAACACCAGGAAAACACCAGGCTGGAGCATGTATGTTGTCTGTGCTCTCTCACCTTCCCTTGCTCCTCCCCAGCAGCCATCCTGCAAGCCCTGAACAAGAACACCCACCCCTGGCCCTGCCACCCCCTGGGATGTGTGATGAGTGTGGTGTTCTCATCCTCCCTCACCTCCTGCCCCCAAACCCTCACTGAGGACTTTAGCCAGGAACACTGAAGGAAACACGGACAGGAAAACCCCTGGTGAGGACAGAGGGGGCACAAGCAGGTGAACAGCTCCAGCCAGGATGGAGTGCCAGCCCAGTGACAGTCTCTGTTCTCCTCTCCCTGCTCCCAGGTACAAATGCAGATGAGGTTTACAAACCCAAGTCACCCTGAAGTCCCTGCCTGATGAGGGGATGTGGTTTAGGGTGGGCCTGGCAGTGCTGGGTTAGTGGTTGCACTTGTTGATCTTAGAGGTCTTTCCCAGCCTTAATGATTCCATGATTCCAAGTCACTCAAACATGGGAATAACTTCCTTACAACCTGGGAGGGCAGAGAAACCCTGAGGCACAGGGGGGTGGCTCCAGTGGAACAGGGGAGACTCAGATGGCAAGGGGGGTGAGGAGCAGAGGGGTTCCAGGCAGGATGGCACATGGGTTACTGCCCATCACTGAGGGACAGGTCACTGCTTGTGTGGGCACTGAGCAAAGCACCAGAGCTGAGCTTCACCCCTGCTTTTAACCCACCTAAACCACTTATTTATTTCCTGACAGTTCTGCCCTCACATCTTTCTCCCTGGCAATGCTTCCTCTGACTGCTGGCATTGATGTCAAAGAGTCCCAGGCAGGGTGACAATCATGGCATGACTAAAGGATGACTCAGAACATCTCTGGCCACATCAGCACAGACAACTCAGATCTGCTCAGCACTCCCAGCCCCTCAGCACGGGGATATTGGGCTCATCTTGTGCTCCCAGTTACCACAAAGGTTGGCTCCACTGTCTCAGTTGTCACAAAAACCAGGCAAAGGTGATAATGAGAAGGAATAACAAGGAGCCACAGCAATAGTGGGAGCCTGATTGCTCCACCACGGAAAAAGGATGCTGAAGGCACCCAGCAACATCTCTGGGGGCTCTGGGAACCTTCTCAGTGACCAAAAACTGGCCAGTAAGAGGTCATGGACCTGCCAAAGTCACCCTGTGCACTGTTTGCTCAGGGGGTGCAGAAAGGCCTTGGGGACAATTCCACCTTGCAGAACGTTTGCCGTGCTGGGAGCCCAGTTTGGCTGCTCCCATGGAGCTCCACAGAGTTACAGCAGGGAATTGCTGGGCCCACAGAATGTCCAACACATTTATTCCAAGTGTGGGCATGGCAGGGGGTTGGAATTGGATGATCTTTAAGGTCCCTTCCAACCCAAAGCACTCTGTGATTCTCAGTGCACCAAAGACGATGGGAAACCCAGGGCTTTCCAGCTCTTCCAGACCCTGCAGCCCAGAGAAATTTGCTTTGTACTTGCCCACCCCAGGAAGGGGTGTCTGCTCCTTTGAAAAATGCCCATGAGGTTCTCCAAGTAAACCCACAGCATCACAGAATCTTTAAGGTTGGAAAAGCCCTCCAAGATCATGGAGCCCAACAGTTCACCCAGCACTGGTGTGTTCACCACTAAACCATGTCCCCAGGGGCCCCATTTCCATGGTTTTTGAACACTTCCAGGGATGGGACTCCACCACTGCCCTGGGCAGCCCCTTCCAGTGCCTCACCACCCTTTCCAGGAAGAAATTTTCCCTAATACCCAACCTAAACTTCCTCTGGCACAACCTGAGGCTGCTTCCTGCTCCTCCTGCCCCTTGT